TTTTTTTTTTTTTTTTTTTTTTTTCGTTGAAATTATTTGGAATAATAATAAAGAATGTCTTATTAGTCGATTCGAAGTGTTGAAGTGTCTGTTATTTAATGTATATTGGACGATATGAGTATCGTTCTTGCAAGTTATTAATAGTATTATAACAATAATAAGAAAAAAAAAAAAGAACGATCTTCGATTTTGATTTTATTTAAGAATTTATAGATACTTTTTATGATATTGATATCGTGCAATATGCAACTAAATTAACATTTTATCATTAAGAAGAATTGGCTTCTTCAGGTAGTAGTGATTCGTCAATCTTGTTTGTCGAACATATGTCATAGTGTTTACATAAATATAAGCAGACTTATGAATCACGCTAGGACAGGTAACACAGACGAGATATAAATCAAAGATATTCAACTTTTATTACAGTGTTTCCCAACCTTTTTGAATTGACGACATGTTGTAAAATTATTGCTATACGTTTAGAGTGAAAATTTTTATTCGAATATATTTAAATACATATTTCGACATCTTTTATGGCTTTTATTATTTGTTTTAAAAAAATTTGAAAAATATTTATAATAGTGACAAGAGATCAGAATTTTGATATCAAATCTAGATATCGATAAAATTAATAGTTCGTAACTAATGATGATTTTTAATTGTTTAATCGATTTTCCATTAATAGATTGCATATTTGTGAATAATTTTAAATTGTACAGGATATGGCAAAAAATATAAAATATTCAAACTTCATTTCTTTAATCGTATTAATGTTTTTAATGTTAATTGTAAAAATTTTAATAAATCACATTTGATACACATTTGATTTATGTATATAACCGACATATTGATTGAAAAACACTGTTCTAATGTGAACTTGAATGAACAACAACTTTGTAAACGAATACAGCAATTCGTAATCTCTTTGAAATGATAAAATCTTCTTAAAAACATTTTTGATTTTAAGAAAAATTTCCGAAATATCAAAATTATCAAGATCATTAAAAACTAGAAACAGATATATTTATTCTGGCTGATGATCATCGATCAGATAGTTAATCGAATAATTGCAATTTATTTAAGTCCATTTAATAACTATTTGTGAAAAGTTGATTATTGAAAGAAATATTATCAAAGCAAATCTTCGTTTCTATATAATTTTATTATAAGAATAATAAGACAAAAGGAATATTAAATTTCTATAAACAATTATTACAATATCTTCGTGATATAAAATTCAACATTTCTTGCATCGTTATGATGACAATACACGTTCATGAAAAATCAACTGTTGTTTAGAATTGTTTAGAATTCGTATATTATACTGCAACATATATTTTTGCCATTAGTTCTATATTTATTTAAAATATAAGACGATAACTAAAACTTAAAAGTCAAAATTATATCTTTAAATTGATCCTAATTTTTGTGATCGATTGAGAATAACGCAAAGTTAATTGCAGAAAAGATAAAATTAAAGAAATCATCATATTAAAATAAACGTATCAATTTATCATCATACATTACAGATTCAAAAGTATAATTTATTTTCTTAAATTTACAAATCCTTCAATCATTTTATCAATTTCTTTTCTAACATTCATTAATAGAGAATAAGAATATGATTTTAACATCTGATAAACATCTGATCTATATCCAATCTAATATTCTTCATCTAACAAATATATATAATATAATAATAAGAAAGATATTCATTACTATGGATTAATAATATTCACGTCCAGGATTAATTTTGCATATAAAAACGACAAAATCACTGTATATTTATAAATTTATTTCAAAAATAATATCATAGATATCGTCATTTTCAAAGTAATGGAAGATGAATTGATTTTGAAAATTAAAACGAATCACATTTAGATATTTTATTAAAAAAAGAAATTTTCTATAATAATAAAATATTATTATAGATATTTAAATGAAATCGTGTTTTCCATCAGTTTAGATCGTATCGTGAAGAACTATTTTTTGCAACGGTTCGTTTTATACAAAGTTATCACAATATATGGAATAATTGAATAAAAACTGTGTAAAAAAAAAAAAAAAGAAAAAAGAAAAAGAAAAAAGAAAACAGAAATATACAGAAAGTTAATGAGCCAAGTACACGAACCATACTTACGATAATGTTTTAGATATTTTTTAAGTAACGTTGCACATAAGAATGACGAATGACGAATCACTATCGTTTGAATATGAAGTAATATTTTTTCGTTTAGTAATATAATCAATATTTATGCAACATCAATGCACAATAAAACTATTTATGTTACAAAAATTAGAAATTCGTTACAAAAATTATTATTGTCGTAAGAATGATAATTATAATAAAAATAATTTATTTTAATTTACATTGTTGATATATATATATATAATTTTCTAGCAGGGTTTAAGTATCTATTTAACGAATCTTTGAAATATTTTATATTTTATAAATATTATCATGGTAAATTTTATTTTTAGCAGCCAAAGATCTGTGAGAACAACAAGAGATACTTTGTATTTGCATGAATGTATCTTTATCTATTTATACATGCATCTATATAAATATATCGTTATTCAGATTTGAAGGAATTGAAGAAGTGAAACATATTTAGAAGAAAAAAAAGAAAAATACATTAGAAAAATCTTTATCGTTTGGTAGTTTAATCATTTACAATTAAATATTATAACTGAATACTGAATATATTGGTAGAAACTCTCTATGTGTTTGAGGATGATCATATCTAATGATGAAAATGAAAATAGCAACTTTAGATTTCAAATTGTAATAGGATTTTAAATATTCTGCTGATTAAAAAAGATATCGATCAAAGTAATTTTTTATAACAAAAAATGCAAAAGATTTAAAGAAGAATTTTCATTTATCAAAACAATTATTCTTATCTATTCCTGCTTAACAGAGGAAAAAATTATCGATTTATAAAAGTTATCGATTTCGAAAAGTGAAAAAGTTTTCTACGACATTCTATTTTTTGTTCTGATGATCGTCTAGCTTTAACAAAAGTTATGTGTAACAATCTGAAAGGAAAAATTCAAAAGAATGAGTGGAGAATGAGAGGAATTCTCGTTTCTTTATTTTTATGACAACATTTTGGGAATCGTGTCTATATTCATTGCAATTGAAGTACAATAAAGTATGCACAATAAGACATGCAAAATTTTAAATATAATCCATCGATCGTTCAATCTAAAGTCTCAACGATCATTTGTACGATCTGTTCATAGAAATATCTAAAAAGTTTTTATCATATATTTCTTTCACGAAAGGGACGATAATAATAAAAAAATATCTTGAATTTACAAATAAGAATTTTTTATTATCTAATAGTAGATATGTTAAGTAAAATAAAATATTTCGTATTATATATTGCAAAAATATCGGATTAGATATT